AGCCATCCTCTAATTACGAAAGTATGTGAAATCCTGTAAATAAAGCTGGAATCAGCTTGGTTTGGGGGAAAATAAAAAAAAAAAAGCTTTAGATATCATTTCAAACTATTTAGTTACTGAAATGGAATTTTCTGTGCTTGCCAAAATGAATCCTATTCAGTGTGATGCAACAGGTGTTGGAATTCCAGCAGCTGCCTGCAACCCACATCTGGTAAGAGTTAGGAGTTTAAAGCAAGTTCTGCTTATGTATAAAAACGATTCATCAGTCAGATCTTTGGCCCATATTCACCCACCCACCCGCCCTGTGCATAGCTCAGATTTTTATTTCCTTTACAAAACACGTAATTCTGGTCCTCACGAAATTTTAGGAATCTTACGGCACTTGTTCAGGTTGAAAGTGTGCAGTCGGTTGGTATGGCTGTACTGGGGTGTCAAAGGTGACGGCCTGCAGTTCACAGTGAAAGGTGTGAATACATCTATATTGGGTTTGACTAGATATGTGAGTTACATCCTGACCTCTTGTATGTTCTCATGATTACTCTGCAGAAGAAAGAATTCCCCACACACACTTCCCATCTGCCTCATAAATAATGTGCAATGCTACAATTGTCAGACAGGTATTTGCCAGACAAAAACTAGAATTAAGAGTAAGCACTAAATAACACTCATTCTTGTACTGCCACTCTCAGCTGTATCTCCTTTTGTTTCCCTTCCCAACTGCAACATTGAAATCAGTAAGGCTACTCATAGGAATCAAGTGGTAGGATCACACCATTAATAATTAGCCCTTTGAACTGCCTCAGCATGACTAACTCGTCACACAGATGACCAGACCTGAAGGCACAGGAAGTAATCCTCACTTTGAGCATACATGTGTAAGTTGTGCACAGAAGCTACTGCAGTAAAACCAAGGCTAATCATTTAGTTTTGTATTCAGTCCTGTACATACTAGATTTCAGTAAAGGTGGGTGAAAAATAAAAACCAGACAAGTCAGCCTTAGGGAAGCCAGAATCATTTGACCTCCCTTCCAATTAGAAAACCACTTGTGTTGGTCATCACATACTGCCAGCAAGAATGAGGTCTTAGTTAATTTTTACAGCATTATATTCATGGTAAAAAACCCCACACCCATTCCCTTAACTCCCAGTTTTGTTCTCCCTTTGTGTTCCTGTGACAGCCTCCTTTCTGTTAGCCAAACACAGGTATCTAATGTAGAAACTGATAACTGCAAATCAAGGATCCCATTGGCTTTGCCACGTTACTGCAAGCTTACAAGCAACGAGACTACATCAGTCCAGATAGAGAGTGGTGGGAACAAGACTGATCCTGCCTCCCGGGAATACAAGCATATCTAGAATAAAATTACAAGGAAAGGAAAAAGAGCACATTTAAAATAAGAACATAATCTGAGTAGCATATAACAGGAAAATGGTATTGAGAATGTAATTATTAAATAGTTCTGCCAAAAATGCTTATGAATCATCTTTAGAACAAGAGAGTGATCTTTTGCAGTAGTACAGCATTTTAATTGCTGACAAAATTATTTCTTCCTATTATTTCAGTCATTCTTATGGGCAGATGCTAACTTAGAACAGGAATAGAACAGTGTACTTAATTCGAAGTGGCTGTCATTAAAACATATGCAGCAGATATTAAACCAAGGATTTATGTTTTGATATGCCACAGGCCATCTCCGAACATCTTACCTATATAAACAAAAAATTTGTTATGTCTCAAGAGGCAAACTGTGTTTGCTTCCCTAACATAACAGATTTAACATCTTGAAATTGCAAGAAACTCGATAGGCCTTTGCATATACATTATCACAGAAATGTTTTTAAAAGGGGCTGATGAGAGGCATTTGAGACTATTCTGCAAAGCTCATCCTCCAGCCTTGTGCTTGCTTTCCAGACCACACACAAATGCAGAGGAAGAAACAACCTAAACTTATTTCTATGAGTTGAATAGGAATGCTCACATAATCACTGGAACTGCTCTTAATTGGTGTGGCTCAGTTGTACATTTCAGAGCTGTTACATCTTCTGCTGCTGTGGTACTCTTTTCATGTCCTGGCAATCACAGTCCAGCCAGCAGTTTGTTTATCATATTCAGTATGAGTTTCCGGATCTCCAACAAAGTGGTATTTACTCCGAGGCAGGGAAGACTGCAGTAATCCAATAAGTTCTCATTAGCCTAAAATGCAGAAACATCTGCTGGGGTCATGAGCTGCTTACTTGCTGTTGATGAGCAAAGAATCAGCTCCATTTGAAGCTAGTGTGAACAAAAGAACTGTAAGGTTGGGAGTAGTGGTCAAGAGACAAATGGCCCTCCTGGGCTTTAGCTCCGCTGTAGCACACCATGGGCAACAGGGATGCTCCCTCACCTTGAGCCCTGCTTACCCTCTTGCACGCTTCCGAGCTGGTGCCCAAAACAGTCAGGCAACATTTACATAACTGAAGAGAACATGGCCGGGGCTCCCCAACCCCACCAGAATCCAGACAGGGCAATCTGTGCAGTGCAAACCTAGTTGAACATCTTTGTCAAAGGCTTTTTAGTCAACTAAGAAAATTTTGCAGTGGATGAGTACTTACATATCTGTGCTCCCCTTCCCTCACAGGTTCTCAGGCCTAACTGGCTCATTGCACAATTTGCTTTCAGTTTTCAGACCTCCACCCCCACCAAAAAATCCCAGCATCTAAGGACACATGAACGTTAAGAATGGGTCAATAAGAACTTCTGGCCTGAAAGATGAATACATCAGTAATAAGTACAGCAGGAATTTACAGAATAAAATTAAATCTACATCGATCCAAGCTACAGAAATAAGAACATTATTAATTCTAGGTAAAAAAAAAAGAAAAAAAGATTGATAACCTGAATAAAAAGAGCCTTTAAGTTGTTCAGGATTCCGACCGATATTCAGAGCATGTGACATTGTCAGAAAACAAGTGGAAAACACAAAATAAGTGGTGTCACATCTGCTTAGCTCCTGCTCCAGTGACTCTGCAGTTCTTTGTTGTTGTTTGTACAGTGTTAAATATAGCAGCATCTAATTCTGTGGCTATTTCAAGGTGGAGGAGCCTAAAACACCTCTGTAAAAAGCCAAAACAGAACCAGTTAAAAAGAACATTCAGGAAAATCAAGATGGAAAAGTCTCAGTTTAAAATAGCTTAGAAACCTTTCCTGGAGAGGCTGAGCTCTTTTATCTAACATTTGTCCTGCCATTTGTACAAAGAATTACCCAAGTGTTCAGTTTAAGGAAAAGAAGGGCCAGAAGGCTCAAATCAACACCTATGCTTCTTCTGTACCAGCGACTGCACGTCCCCAGGCTCTTTATTGTTTTGTACATGCAGTTGGCCTTTAGCTCCAGGACTCCCACTTTGCTTTAGGCTTGTTGCACAGACAACGGCCGCCACCTGCAGCAGTAAGGACGAATTACTGCTCCAAACATTCATGGCCAGAGGAACCTTTCTCCATCACCCTTCTTCAGGGAAGAGAACTAACAGCATTCCACTTGACTGTAAGGTGAAAATGTTTATTGATGCCTCTTGTAGCAGTAACACTTGGGGGGTATGTTTATATATTTATTGCATGAAATCATGGAATAGTTTGGGTTGGAAGGGACCTTAAACCTCATCCAGTTCCAATCCCCTGCCATGGGCAGGGATACCTTCCACTACACAAGGTTGCTCCAAGCCCCATATATACAGCAGTAACTCAGTCGTAGAATATCACTTAACTGAAGAAGATGGGTTTAATTTAAAAGTATTTCCTTAAAAAATACCATCTTTTTTTAGACCAGCAATAAGGTCTACTGTCCGGAAATCCTTGGAAAGACATTCTAACTTATGTCTGTGCAGAGACAGAACTATCAAGACCCTATGAAGTTGATTTTCATTTTACCTCTCCTCCCTCATACTTAGAACCTTCTGAGTCTCGGAATGACAGCTTATCATAAGCAAGTTAAAGGCATGAGGACACAAATATTATCCAAAGAAATATAATAGGAAATATCCTAGGAAAACCAGCTGTTTGATCAGCAGTTTCATCATATAGGAGACTTTCTATCAAGATCTCCATTCATCAAAACCAAACAGCTAACCTATGACTTGACTGCTTAGCAAAGTTCCCCATCCAGCGGCCAACGCTGTAGGTGCAGCTCAGGCCCCTGACCCAGAGCATGGTCCTGCTGGGTGCAGGACCTATGACTTGCGCACTGAACGGCAGATCACATGGGAACTATTAGGTGCAGCTCATCTAAACATGTTTGAGGAAGAAGTGACAGATTAATAGCTCATGGATAGGCTGCTGCCACAAAAATGGCACTGATGTGATATACAAGGAGGGTCTTAATAGCTTGTAGGTATTGGCTTCTCAGTCAGTGCATGGCACATCTTACTGATCCAGTTACTGTAGCTTAATATACTCCTAATTTTTATGAAAAGGAGACAAGAATCTAGTCACACCCTCAGTAATACAACGAAGAAAGCCTGAATAGCATTTCAAGGAGTACAAGGAGAATGCTCCAAATACTTTTGAGCAGGCCCCAAAGCTTTCTAGACACAGCTTAAGCCATAAATGTACCACTGCAGACGATGCAAAGCAAAGCCTTTAAAAAACCATTACAGAAAGAGGTTCCATAGGTAAAACAAAACAAAACAACAAAACAGGATACAGCATGTCTTTCAGAGAGAAATGCATTCCATATGCAAAAATGTAAAGTACATTGAAAAAACATGCCACATCTGGCACGTATGTTCGTAACAGATCCCACTCACCCCCAGGCACTTACTCAGCAGTTAGGTTTGAGGTTTCTCTGAACATTCAGTCTTCTGGCCTCAGCACTTTGGGTGCCAGTAGGTCCTGGCTTGCCACTGGGGCTCATTAGTGCTTGTAAGTCCATCACCACATATATTGTGTAGCACTAGCCCTATGTAAGCCCAGACAGAACCAAAAGCTTCTGTAGAACATCAGCTAAGATACTCAAACATGAAGGCTATTGATACAGCAGTGGAAAATAGTCTTTATTATTAAAAATAAACTCCTTCAAGAGGAGTCAGATGAATACAAAAGCATTTATGATTTTAATAATTTGATTCCGAGACAATTAGGCAACAAATTACCAAAACTTTTCACTTGTTACAAGTAACTTGAGTTCCTTCCAACTACTCGCTACTTACTACCCACGTAGTTTTTCCTCTCAGCAAATCCAGAAATAAGGGACAATAAAGTGTTCCTCCAAAAGCTGCTCATGGAGGGACCAATTACCATCCCTACAGAACCTCCTAACAAGATCAGCAGATGCACAGTACCACATACGCAATTCCACATCTAGATTCTGATATGTTGTCCTGTAAGGAACTCTACTTTGGAAAGAGATGCAAATCAGTGTCCCTGAAACCAGTACAAGAAAGTAAACCAAGAACTTTCATAATACATTGGTTACATTTGCCAATAACTTTTCTTCTTCTTTACCTTTCAGTACTGTCAATGCAGAAAGGGATGAGAAAGGGGTCACAGAAATTCACGTTCAAAAATCAAAGCCTCCTCATGGGACAGCATGTAGAACAAAACTCCTTTTTTCCTTATCAGTAAGCACATGTGCTGCTGGTTTCATGTTCCAGTATAACTGAAAATTTGGACAAGTTATACTTTCATACAAGAAGTAAAAAGGTAACAAATCTGCTGGCACTGACTTAGTAACCCCCCACTTAGCAAAACAATATACAAACTTATTTGAAGTACCAGTGCTTCATAACATCTAGTCCATGCTTCTCTTCGCATTTTCTTTGGTTACTCAGAGAAACTTCTTTACTAACTTCAGAGTACAGGTTCAGCATTCTTGTGAAGCTCCTGGAACAAAGGAAGCAAGTTATATCAGCTACTCTGGAGGGTAACAACTCCTTCTTAAGCCCAAAGCCTGGACATTTGCATCATTCTTCTACCAAGGAGCCACCAGAAGAAAAGAATGTAAACCATGAAGTTTCTTCCCAAAGGCTAGAATTTGGAGGAGAGGAGGGGCAGTTTGCAGGAGGTGGGGACGCGTGGCTTTATGGTCTATCAATCTGCTAAGATTTTAGCTGTAATCTTTTCTGGGGCAACAAAGAAAGTAAAGGAAATATACCATGCTTCATCTCTTTTTTACACTCTCGGCAATACTTTGTATTTGTTGACACAATATCTGAAGGGGAAAAAAACCCAACCTTTTCTGTGCTCCTCATATCTCCTAATGGATATTTACATGGTTATTATTTAAGAAGAGTGCTTCTAGTTCACTTTTCTGTGTCCTGCAGTTCTCCACTCACTTACATACTTGTACTTTATCAGGCCTATTCTTGTTCACCATATTTCTCAGCTAAAGTGTCAGAGAGTGGCACACTAAAGAACCACCTTTGACCATAGGTAAGGTAAGGACACAAATACAGGTGTCCACTATGAACTGAACAGAATTAAACTTAGTGTTACTATCCCCTCAATTCATCCTTCCCCAACATATGTTCTTGATCTATATTGGCAAGATATATGTTTTCCTCTGAATATTTAGCCAATGAGTCTTCAACTGACTGTTGTAAATACCTTTGAAGCTCTTCATCCACTTCCTGAGACATTTCTTTAAGCTCTTTCAGTACGCTAAATGCTTTTGTACTTTCTTCCGAGTAGCTCGGTGTAAGTTCTGTCAGAAGCTCCTCTGAGATCTTTAACTGTTTTCGCAGTTCTTCTACAATAGGAGGTGTTAAAAATACTATTCAAAACTGCAAGTAGTGGTATCAGTTAATACAAGATTACATAACAGCTGCAGTAACTACAGAGACAAGTGAATTAGATGACGGAAACCTACTGTTTGCTCATCTTTCACAAACACACCATGAGAAAACTGTGAAAGCCAAATTATTTTTAGCTATTGTGACCAGCAAGAGGCTATTATAATGGCTAATCAAGCTCTCATTTAGAGTATGTCAAAGATTTTTATGACAAATGCAAGAGAAAGAACAAGTTTTAAACATTCAAAATTCCCTGGTGTTCTGGTTTCATCTGGGGTAGAGGTAATTCTCTTCCTAGTAGGTGGTGCAGTGCTGTGTTTTGGCTTTAGTCTCAGAATAGTGCTGATAACACACCAATAGTTAAGTCGTTGCCAAGAATGTCCTTTCTTACCCACCAGCAGTTTAAAACTGTAACTCTTTGTCCAGACTTCAATATAAACCACAAGCACTAATTTATTAACAAACATTCTCTGATTCTAGACAACACACAATGCATTCAAGCACTAGTTCTGCAAGAAACATGTGCAAGTCTACCCCTCTAACGGAGAAATAAGAGATAACAGTACTTCAGCAACTTTTGTACTTCATCAGGAAGAAACAAGGAGGAAAGCCATGAACACAGTTAAAAGCAAGTTTGAGGAATCAAATTTTCATACCAAGGTATTTTTGCATATCTCCTTCTATGTGAATATTCTTTATGGGTAATTCATGTCTAGTGGCATCCAGGGAAACTGCAAATCTTTTATACTTCTCTTGAAGTTCTTCACAAACAGGAAGAAGGGAAGAAAGTAAATCCATCTGAAAAAGACATGAGGAACCAAAATTTCTTCAAAAGCAAACACAGGTTCAGTTCTGAAAATTAAATCTTAACAGAACTTCATTGTTCATTAGCAACTTGCTTTTTTACAACCAGGCCAGACCTACTTCTGTCTGATGTCTAAATATAAGACCAATAAAGATGTTCACTTCCTGTCTCAGGGCCAGCAGCTCAGCTGTAGACATAACTGTGTAACTGCAGGATGATCATGGGGCTTATGATACTCCCATCTCCTATGTACCAACTGCAGACTGCTCTGACAATCAGTGCTTGACTATTGCATTCCTGACAGTTCTAACTTCTTCCTGACTATCCACGAGGGACAACAAAACAAGGACAAAGGCATTTGCTTAGGTTACTAGAGAGCATTACACGCCGCAACAGGAAGTATGTATTTATTCTGTTTAAGATGCATAAAATTGTACCTCAGCAGGCCACAGAAGCACGGAAACCTCTGAATAAAGGAAATGAAGCTTACCTCGTGAGCTTGCTTAAATATAAGAGAAGCATAAATTGTAATAAAGCCTACCTGTTTGTCTAATGCATCATTAAGTTTTTGCTCTCTTTCTTGGAGTAGAATGTCACGCTTCAACTCACAGAGCTTCTTATGTTCTCTCTCCTTTTCTTCATACAACACTAACAAGTTTTTTTCTGCTTCTTTCTCCAGCTTGGAAAGGTTTTTTTCTGCCTATTATATCCAAAAAATATTCACAGGTTTTTTTCTGCCTATTATATCCAAAAAATATTCACAGCTAAATTAATACTATATCCAGGTAATTAACACATTCTGAATAAACAAATGTAAGCCTTGGACCAGGCCGAAGAGCTTCAGTTACTGAGTTGGAGACCTCATGCAATAAGCACAGTATGTTATCCCCTCCATCTTCTTCCCCCACCCTTGCAAATGGTTTTTGTAAAGGAGAAGTGTACACGTACAGCCCTGAGTGAACAAAGTCACTGCTACAGCCTTGAACTCCAAACACTCTCGTGGCGTTCCTAAAACTTCTGTGCATCCCTACCTCATGAAGAGCCAGCACCAGCTTAACAAATTGACACTGGATTCACTCTAAGAGTTTTCAAAGCAAGTCACACAATTTTACAACCATCAACACAGAAAGTCTCAAAATGCAGCTTTTAAGGATCAGAAAGCACAGACAAGAAATTAAACAATTCCTCAATATCAAGTTCTTCTACCTGAAACACCGAATGCTTGACTGACTCTCACCTTTAGTCTTAGGTAAGTTAAAAGCAGTGTCTGAGATTCCAGTTCTTCTATTGCATCATCAGGATCACTTTCCTCCAAAAAAGAACAGAATATACTAGATCAATTTTGGTATTTAAACAATTACATATTCAAATAAATTACTGAAAGTCCATCTTGTGCCCAGAATCATTATCAGCAACCGTCAACTCAGTGAAAACAACTTGGATTTTTAAGCAACATGTTAATTAAATATACCTCTTTGTTTCACCACTTTTCAAAGCATTTCAGCAGGTAACACTGGTAGAGAACTTGAAGTTTCAATGCTACGTTAAGTGAGATGCCTAAACAAGGCACCTCAAATTAGACTGAATTAACATTAGTGATCTGTGCAAAAATGTCAGAAAATATTTAAAGATAACAAGAATACAAAAAGAAGCCACTTGAGGGGATGCTACAATTGGAGCAGATTCTTTACCACAAGAAATGTAAGTAAAGATTCAGTCAGCATTAGAACACCTTATAAGCAAAGCAAACATCGCTATCAATAGAAAAGACTTATCCTCTGACTTTAGGTCATCCCAGGATAATCATCCCAGTTGTTTTCAAAATTAAAGACAAAATCTTCATTTCATGCATTTCAAAATACATGTGCTTAACAAATGAAAGCAGTGACTCACCTCTGCTTCAAAGTCTCGACATGTACCTTTTTTCTGAGCAGGTTTTGAATCAGAAGGCTTTTTGCGCATGCTTTTATCTGAATCACAACAGAAAAGTTATTGCTCTCTTCTACAGGTATATACAATGGGTTAACATATGTCCTGGGCTCAGCTGTAACAGTTATTTTTCTCCTTCCTAGTAGCTGGTGCAGTGCTGTGCTTCAGCTTTAATCTGAGAACAATGCTGATAACACACCAATGGTTTAGTTGTTGCTAAATAATGCTTATTCTGATCAAGGCCTTTTCAGTCTTTCATGCCCTGCCAGTGATGAGGGGCACAAGAAGCTGGGAAGAAGCAGAGATAGGACACCCAGTTCTGAATTATTGGCTCGGTTTACACCACAACAGCATCCATCAGGTTCTTCAAAGGCAAGGATAATTTCAAAATTATTATGTGTAGCAGTAAAGATGACTTGTGCTCTATTTCTGGCTCTGATGGTAGTCATGAGAAGACGGGGAGCACAGGAGCATTTAGCTTTAATTGACAGTTACAGACAGATGTGATACAATTTTCAGAAGGGCTGATAATCTAACACTCATCTGTTACAGGAACAAATATTCAGAGTACTTTGTCCTTTAATATTTGATTGTAAACAAAAAGAACACACAAAAGATATTTAAAACTGAGATTAATTTAAACCCTGGAGGTCTTAATACCTCCACTTAAAGAACTTGAAATAACATTAGTCTTATTTAACAAAATCTTTTTGTGAATATAGCAGAATACGAGGGTTACTTATCACAAGTTACAGCACATACATCAAAAATAATGAAACAAGGAACTGAGCGTAAGTGGAAGCTTACCACTAACAGCTGAAAGATCTATGTCCGGCAGATCACTTTTAGCCTCATCTAGTAAAGTGGACTGCAAGTAACGTTTCTCAAAATTACCTTTATTTAATGAGCTGGAGGCAACACCTGTAGAAAGAAGCTGTTATCAAACTAAAAGAATTAGAACAGGTTCTGCACAAGTTCACAGTTCCATATTCTTTCAGTAACATGGCAACCTTACACAAGTTTGTATGCATGTACTTACATGCATCATTAGCATACTCCCTCTCTTACACAGGGATAAGTTAGTTCAGGCTGTTATTGTCTTAAACACAGGTCAACACTCAGATGTTAAAAGGAAACAGTTATTTCTTCAGGATATTTCAAATCAAGGCCTTGCAGAAAGCTTTTTGCAACCCAAAGAAATAAAAACTGTTTTACAGACAGGAATTTTTCTGTCCTTTACAGTGGGTTTATTGAAAATATTAAATTAAAGAAAAAGCAGAGCAATGGAGAGGACACAGTAAAAGAGCAGTTCAAACCCATACACAGAAGACATGAGAGGTGCTTATTTTAAACAATCAAATGATGCAATTCCAGATCCAGACAAGAGTTTAATGCACTTGAGTTTACCCCTCTTAATCCCGCATCAAATTAATTAATTCAGGTAACTGGCAGCGGTGTAGTTAATACAAAACACAATCTCTTAACAACATTTTAGAATTGGTAAGAGTTCCGCAGGTTAGAAATACAAACTCACGAAAGAACAGCTTTGAAATTTTGGTAAAACCTACCAGCAGGAGTTTTACATTTCCGAGAAGAAACTAATCTTGGTGTAGCTGCAGATGACGGTTTAGAAGTGGACCTTGCTGAAGCACCCTGACAATCAAGAAACAGGTAAGACTGAACTGTATGCTGTGACTGCAATCAGCACTGTGTCTTACCCCCCACTTGAATGCTGACAATAAACAACTATAATCCCACAGCGGTTTAGTGCTTTACAAGTCATCTGAGCACTCTCCCAAATTCCCCCCCCCCCCACTCTGCATCTCCTCATCACCCGTAACTCCCTCATAACCCCAGCAGTCTTGCTGCCACACGTCCGAGCCGCCCTCATCGTTTCTACCCTTCACTGAACAGCATCTAAGCTCACCAGGGAGGAATCCAAATGCCTCTGGGCGTCCTTCTGGTACTGCAGGTAGCGAGACTTCACGACTCTTCCTCCTGAAAAAGGAGCACGAGAGCTCAGGCGGGCTCACCTCAGCTTCCCGGCTCAGCCGGAGCGGGCTCGCCTCAGCTTCCCGGCTCAGCCGGAGCGGGCTCACCCTTTCGCTCACCTTTCCTCTTTGTCTTGGGCTCTCCTCCGCCCGCCGCAGCAGCCCCGGGGCCACTCCCCTCGGCGGACATCCTGCAGGGGCGGCGCGGGACCCGCCACCAGCGGCAACGGGACTCTTCTTCCCGCCTCCGCCGCGTTCGAACGGTGGCGCGCGAGCGGCGCCGGCCGCGCTCCGGGTCAGAGAGCGCGCCCCCTGTCGGGGCGGAAGAATAGAATCAGCCTCAGAGCCGGGGGGTCACCGCGGGGCTGCTGCAGCGCCTACAGCACGACGGAACCCAAACCTTCCCCAGACCCCCGGTGGGAGGAGGCTGCTCTCTGCAGCTTCATGAGCACGGCGGTGGGGATCCCGGGGCTCCCAGAAATGGCTGGCGAAGGGCGGTGAGCACCACAACCGCCACCTGCACCACAGCGGGACCCCCCGCAGCACTGTGAGGTGACGCTCCCAGCACTGCGGTTCTTCGGCTTTCACACAAATCCGCCCGCTCTTGCTCCTCGCTTCCTACCTCAGAAAGCAGCCGGCGAGCACCGGTTCCCGCTTTGGGAAGCTGCAGACGGGACTGGGCCAAACCGAGCACCAACAGCCTCAGTCCCGGGGCGACGCTTCGCGTTTCCCGCCCCGGCGCGGCCCGCCCTGAGCGCGGCGCTTGCGCCGTGTGCACGCAGCGCTGAATGGGCGCCGCCCTGCCTCCCCCGGTACCCGGAAGTGGCAGAGCGGGGCCTGTGGCGGGAGGCGGTGCTGGTCGCCAGCGCTTCACCCACCGGCTGAGGTAAAGGGCGGCGGAGCGCGACCCTGTGCCCCTGATGGGTATCCTCTCGTCTTCCTTTCTCCTTTCTTTCCTTCTTTCCTCTTTCTCCTTTTCTGTGGGTGATTGAGCTCTATAGCGGTGCCACTTCAGCGGGACCGGTTCTCCCCCCGAACCTGGACGCTGTGGGGCGGGCGGAGGAGTCCAGTGCGTATACAGAGGGATTGGGGGGTGTCTGGCGGGCGGGAGCTGCGGGGCTCTGCCGCTTCCCTCAGGAGCCGTGCCCCTGGGCGGCGGGCGCTGGAGAGGGCGCTGGTTGGGGCCGGGGGGGGCGCGGATTGGAGCTGAGGGGGTTCCTCACGCCCGGGGGGCAGCGGCTTGGCTGCTCGCTCGTTTTGCATCTGATGTGCCCGAAGAGCGGGACGTGCCCGAGGGGAAGGAGCGCTCTGCTCCGCGCCGCCCGCCGGTGCCTCCCTTCTCTCGGGCGGCGTTAGCTTCCATCGCCCGTTACTGGTCTTAAGCGCGCAGCGTTCTGCTGTGCCATGGGACGTCTCTAGGTCTCGGTGTGAGCAGCCTGTGAGCTCTCGTACGAGTATCTCAGCATCGTTCAAAAAAACCCGCTGGGTTCTTTTGTTTCTTTGTTTTATCTTTGGGCAACTCTTGACGATATCAGTGTCGCTAGTGCGTTGAGGGCGTGCTTTATCACGGTGACCGTCGTTGCCTAACAGATACATGTCTTCAGCTCTGTCCTGGTAGGGCTGCGTCTTTGGGGTAAGTTCGGTTTTGCAATCTCTGAAAAATAGAACTTGTGCAAGCTGGGAGCATCTCTTTGTAATGTGGTTGTAGACTAAAAATAGCAGAGTCCTGTCCTGCTTCGTGACTGTTGTGACCACACAGTTGATACAGGTGTGTGTAATCCTAATACAAGATGACTTCCTAGCCTTGTTTTTTGTTACTTCAGGAGTGTTTCGGCAAATTCTTACCAAGCTTTGTTTGCAAGTCCTGTTTGTATAAAGTGAGAAGCAGCTTGGATTTAAAGGAGTTCGGTATTCTTTGATTTCACCTTCTAGAAATGGGTGGCAGTGTAGCAAAGGGCTGGAGATGATCTCAGGCTTATGGCAAATACAATTAGCCTTTCAAAGATGTCATCAGCATCCTCCCACGTTGCGCCTAGAGGTGAATTGGTATCGGTTTGTCTGCAGAGATGTTTGCAAATAAGAGTTTGTCATGGGTAATTAGAAGCTCTGATTCCAGGTCTGGTAGCTGGAATATATGGCTGAAGTACTTGCCCTAAAGTAACAGTGAGGTAATCCTGCATTCCGGTAGAGTGTATTGGTGTCACACCCCTCAAGTTTTAGTAAGTCTTTGGTGTCTTTTACTCAAAGTCTTGTCAGAAACAAGTTCACTTGATGTAGGGGAACTTCTAATGCACATATTTATTCATATTGGCTTCAAGATTCATTGCGGCTCTTTTCTGAAAAGAATAAATCTTTCTTCTTTGTGTCTTTGAACTAACCATGAGATTATCTACCTTCTCTGCAGTTAAAGTCCATTAACATTGTGCTTTCCAGGATGATGCATCTAAGGCCATTTCCTTAACCATTAGCGTTTACTTATTAGCATAAAATTCAGGAGTTAAATGCAGTAATGTGACCCAACTGTTTTTGTAGAACTGTACTTACTTGCGTTGTTTGGGATTTGTTTGATGGTTGTTTTGGGTTGGTTGTTTTGGGTTTTTTTGTCCTGCTTGAACGTTTGTCTCAACAAAAGCTTTTTCAGTAGTTGAATGTTGCAGTTTCTGCAGTAACAGGACAGCTATCTGTGCAAATGGATAGCCTAATCAGTAGGAAAAAAGACCATAGGGTTTGGGTTTTGGTGGAACCTAAAATTAACATAGAACTGAATCATTTAGGAAGAGTAAATGCAGCTGATAAAAAATTGAAACGAGGTTCACTTAGAAGCTAATGCTTTGTACAGATTGAGTTTTCTGACAAATAATGATTCAAACATTAGGCCTCTTGAATAAGCCTGTGTATGAATAACTGTTTGACTCATATGCGCATAGTTCAGTGTTGCTTCAGCTAAATACGGCCTTTTCTTAACTGAATGGTCAAATACCATGATTTGTGTATCAGGGGCATTTAAAAAGAAAACATTCCTGAAAGATGCAACAGCATGAGCTATCTCAACAGTCAAGGAGAAGAGTGAAAAATTATGATGCAAAAGTAAGTTTGTGGTTCAGTACTTTTTTGTGAATTTGAAGGCATTTGTTAATCACATTTCTAAGAAACAAGACCTATTAGCAAGGAGAAGTAAAGCCTGAAATGCTGATAAGGATTTTTTTTTTCAGTAGGCGGCTATTTTAATAGATGATCTGCCTTCTGAAAGGACCGGGAGTGTCTTTATTTCAGAAAATGAAAGTTCAGAGATTTTGTCTCTAGTATATCATGTTTTCTTGATGTATCAAATGACCTGAGTGGGGCTTGCAGAGTTGCTTTTATCTAGGCTTCATTGTGGTGTTTGTATCTGATTACAAAAATGAAACTCAATGCAGATCCTAGAAAAATATGTTACTCTTTTAAACACCAGCAAGGCTTAACAATAAAAGCGTGTTTAAAACTATTTTTGACAAGCGCACATTCTGCTGATGAACACTCCCTTCCCCCCCCAGGTAATTCACACAAAAGAGCAACCTGAAGTTTCTGAAGAAAATTTCTTATCAGTGTAAATGCAGCCTTAGACCAGTGAAATTTTTACGTCCTTTGTTGACAGCTGTAATGCTATTAAGGATAAAATCAAGAAAACTACAAAAAATGGTAGTATAGGCTCCAAGGTTCTTCTGGTTTATGTTCTTAGCCTCTAACACTCTTGGTTGTTTTCCCTTCTTTCCTTTTTCTCGACAGAGTCACATTTTCATTTCCTCTGAATCATACTCAAGTGTACGTCTGTAACTCTGATATCATACTTTTTGCAAGGTAATAACATGTTACAGATCTTTAATGTCACCATAAGTGTGATAAGGTATCCTTGTCTTGAGGTTAAATTGTGCATCTGAGTCATTAAGAGGAAGTAGAGGTCTGTATCTTGGGTGGTTCAAGGGTGTAGATTGGGATTGGGGTCTCAAGGGCCAAAGGGAATAGAGAGAAGGTAAAGAGGAACTGCTTGTAATGAAGGTAATTTCTTTGACTTTTTCCTGTGTTATGTTGCATTACTTACATTGCAGTCCAGCTTCTCCTTTGGTAGGAAGTCTGTGGCAGTAACTTCTCTGGTAGAGTTGGTTACAAACAGTAGTAACAAATGTGTTGTAAATTTGCATGCTCCATTCAGAACCCCTCCTTTTGGATTAGAAAAAGCTAAGAGCTTTTAGTTAAACCAAGGATCTGAAGTTCAGTCCAACAGAATTTTTTATGACCAAGAAAAATACCAAAGTGTTAACAGAATTTTCAGCAATTTTGAGGTAGTGTCCACGAATGTCTGGAATACTGGAGAAGAAAGAAATAACATTCATTATGTTCAACAGCAACCGTATGTCCTTGTGACAGGAGATAAGAGTTGAAGCTTTTGCCTTCCCTGTAATGCAGTTAATTGTGAAAACTTTAGAGTGTCTCTGTAGCCTGTTTTGCTGGAAATTCCTTGCTTTGGAAATCAAGGATTTTAACAGCTGAATGTTTGTGAAATTGCTCTAACTTTTCAGTTTGACAGACACAAGGTCTCTTTTAGGGATGGTCATAGGCAATTCTGGTATTCCAGAAGATGAGAGGTACTAGAAGATTAGATCAGGCACTTGTGACGTGTTTCTACTTTTGTGTTGAAAATTACTTGAACAGTGGGAGAAGCTTGAATCATTCCGTTTGAGGAATGCAGCGCTGGAAATGTACATGAAAATATGAAGAACTAGAATATTCTAAAACTCATCCTTACCAATTTTGCTGTAATGGTAGCTTTCCCTTTTTAGTTTTGCTATGATTCATTGACTAAATATGTGGCTTCAAATTATAGCCTTATTTAAACTAAACAGATACCCTGTGCTGATTGGGGTGAAATTCTCTTCTGGACTTTTACCACATTATTAAGTGCACAATGTTGGCTTTAATGCATATTAAAAATTAATTGGCTTGATAGAGACTTGCAAAAACTTGCTTATTTTCTCAAGTAAATGAAAGTATTAATTGATACGTAATATAAAAAGAAATATGTCATTAGGCTGTTGCCTTTATAAGCTTATTATATTGGTGCTATTACTAAATATGCTGTAGATCTTATGAGGGATGGGGTAGCAGAAGGTAACAAAACCCTGAAAAGAGATTTTAGATGGGTTAGAATTGCTTCCATTTTTCTGGTCCTGTTGGAATTATCCCTCTAGGACAGTCAAGTAAAGGTGGCCTCTGATACCTCGTGTTTAAGTTGGCCTAGTGCTATTTCAGATTTACTTATCTTCAATCGCGCTTGAAATACAAGTACCTTAAATTGTCTGTTACACTGGCACAAAGAAACCACTGTCTCAAGGGTGCAAATCATATATCACTATATCCTTTAACACACAAATCCCCTGCAGCTGTTGCCAGTTGTGCCCACAGAATTAATACAATGCAACTTTGTGAATAAAAGGTTAAAAAGCTTTGCATGTCAAACTTTTTTGACTTTGCTTGCCCAGCTTGCCTAACTCTCTTTGCATCTGTAAAAGAGGGCTGTGGTGAAAGATGCATTGCTGTGTTTTGTAGATGCTGATGGCTGTCCTTAGTAAATTCTAAGTACTGTGAAGATGTATTTCTTGTGCTGCAAAAGGCTTGTGAAAAGTAAAACATTTTAAGGAAACCAGGAAGGAGTCTGAATGTGAAGTCTAAAATTAGTTGATGTGCACCTAGTGCCAGCTTCTGCCTCCCACAATTAGAGTATTCAATAAATCTAATGCACAACTGTGTGTTCTCCCATGCATTGAAAAGGAGCTTCTTATAAGAAAGAAATGGAAGTTAACTTTGCAGAATTTCTGTCTACAGTGGTGGTGAAGCTGCTGTTTTCCCAAATTTGCTGTTTTGCATGCTGACCAGGATGGTTTCGTTATTACCTTCTACTCTTGTATTTCTCCTTTTTCTTACAGTGTTCTGTGCACCTGAAGTCAGGCTTGTGCTTCCTCCATGTGCCAAATTACACTGAATAAATATTTCAATTGCTTAAAAGTTTTCTAAATAACTAGAGATGATAAAATGAGAAGGAATCATTGTAATCATCTGTTCAGACTACTCTTGCCATTAGTAAGAGGGTGGTACCTTATTCACTTCTCTGATATACAGGCATGTGTGTAACTCAGGACTGGCTGATCTTTAGCAGTCAGGCCTCAGTGTTAGTGTCAGTTCAGGTTCTCCAGTGCAGTTCTGAATTCCAGCCACTGGCTTGTGTTGTAGCTTTGTCCTCCAGACTGGTGACTGTTACAGAACTGTAGTTCCCTGTGCAAGGACTTAAAACTGATAACAGTCTCCTCTGGGTGTTTCTTATAGACAAAGCCTCTAGAGTATTTTGCAGTAAGGTATTTTCCAACAGATTTGTTGCTGTTGTTGCTGCTCTTATCTCAGGTTCTTAACTGAATTTCAGATATCTTCTAGATACAGTATTGGTCACATACCTGCTAAGTATGAAGGTAATAGGGCTGTCTAACAAAATAGTCATTCAATATTTATCTGAGGAATACATTCACTGTCATGCTTGTGGTGTTATATTAGAATAACCATATTGAAAT